GGCCATGGGGGGGGGGGCTGCTCTTTGGGAATATGGGGGGGTGATTTCTGCCCCTCCCACCAGCCTTGGGACCTTCTTCTCTACCCCAATTGATGGTATTTCTGCATCCTTTGAGGTGGAGGGAGAGAGGTAGCCAAACATCTGGGGAGGCCAGGCTGGGAAACAGCTCAGCATCTTTCAGGAGTTTGGCAGCCACACGTGGACTCTTTTCCCTTGCCTGTTTTTCATCTTTGGCTGTCAGATCAGAAAATTACAACTCTGAATTCTAGACATGACCATGGCAGTGATTCAATCCAACCTCTCTCTCGCCGCTCATTCGAAACGCACCCAAGTCCTTGGAATCATTTGGCAGTAGATTCCTTGAGACTCTAATCCCAACCCCGTCTGCATTTTACAAATAGGAAGTCAAGGTCCAGAAAGAGAGAAGTGTTGTCCAAGGTCACCCAGCAAGTTAGCGGCAGAGCCAGGACTAGAAGCCACGTCTAGGGGCCGAGTCCTGTGCTCTTGGCACAGCATGACACTACACTTTATGACGGGGCGGAGAGGTGGATGGGGATCTTACCGAACTTTCATAACCAGTCCCCAGGCTTTTCTCGCTCCCCACGGCTCCCTAAACCCCCAGGCGGGGAAATGCTTCCTTTTCTGCCTGCTCCGAAGTGGGACCTGCAAAGGTAGGCCGCCCGGGTGGGCGGGGCTGCGTGGCTCAGTGTCTGTGACTCTCAGCTCCCTCCCCTGCCCTGCGGGACCCCGTCGGCGGCGGGCGGGGAGTGTGGGGCTTGGCTGGCACCCGGGATCCGCAGGGCCCGGCTACCTCCTGCGAAGCCAGACGGGTCGAGCCCCTGCGCCGGGCTGCAGGCATTTAAAATGAAATACAAACGATCAAACCGCGCGCAGAGGGCAGGAACCGGGGGCGCCCGATTCGGGGGCGCCCGCTGGGGAGGCGCGGCGGGCGGGTGGCTCTAGTAGGCGTTCTCCAGCTCGGCTTGGTTGGCTTTGGCGCCCCGGGCGCGGGGCCGCGGCTTCCGGCCCTTCTGCGGCCGCGCGGCCTCGGGCCCGAAGTCCTTGAGCTCGGACTGGTTGTGGAAGCGGGTGAGGCG